TCTAGTTTTACTGTTTCCAGGTTTTCTCAACTTGTGTCCTATCCATCGCCAGTGTCTTTTCTTCACCTCTTGATCCACTGAAATTTGTTTATTTCTCTCTAAAAGAGTGCCATTAATGATTCCATTATTCCATTTGATCCTCTACATCCTGTGCAGGAACCAGTAAATGAATGTCTGTATTTTATTAACAATTATTTCTCCATTCCATAATACAAAACTTATCAATGTTGAATTAAGAATCGACATCACTGCACTCGGGACCCTCCCATAAGTGCCCAGTCCCCATCTTCAGCAGCAAGCGGAGAGTTCTAATTCAGATGGTACAAGTAACCATCTGATTGTATACAAAACTATCAAAAAGTTATTAAATGAAAAACTATAACCAGAAAGTTTAGAAGAGGGAAAAGGAAACAAGACAACAAATAACCAAATCTTTTGACCAGAGCCAAATATTGCCCTCCACTGATTTTCTAGTTACTTTGTTTTGTATTTAGTAACTTCTTATTACCAGCTGAACAGTTTATGCCACACTGCCCAGCATCTTTTCGCTTGGTCTCCTCAGGATCTTTTCCCCTGCAACTTTCCACTGTCATCACGTATTTCAGTTTCCCCCTTCACAAAAGACACACACCAAAAGAAAAACACCAGAAAAGATGGTAGACTTGTCTAGCTAGTTGTATTAGTTCTCACACGATGTTATATTTGCTACAGTGAAACACTGATCCAATAATACAATCACAGCAGATGGTATCTGACGCATGTCTGACGTAGGCAGCAATGATGTTATGATTTCTGGCTGGGTATTTAAGAAGCTGCTCATTGTCCTGGCATTAGGGCCAAGATTGGCAGGTATTCTCTAAATCTCATGGCATTAGGGCAAACATTGGCAGGTATTCTCTGAATCTCCTAGCATTAGGGCAAACATTGGCAGGTATTCTCTGAATCCTTCATAGATTTTACAATATCAACAAAATGGATTAGTCCCAAGAACAACTTTTCTCATATCTGTTAGTTGCGCATCCTTCCAGCATTCTTTTAATGTTTGGTTTTAATAGGTAGTTTTACATTCAGCAGTTTGTCATTACTGTCTGAATGGTAGGAGCTGCATACCACTCATTGTCGAAATCAATGCAAAGCAGCCTGTTGACACAACTGCCTGCAGCTCAATCGAACTGGGTATCTTAGATCTATGAAGTGCACCCATAATGCCTTAGCCACAGATGCTGACTCACATATGATAGCACAAATATGGAATACCAATCAAATTACATATTTTTTTTCAACCCAGTCAGGTATAAGCGGGTTACCTGGATAGGATCGATTCCCTGATATGATTCTGTAACCTGGATTCACTAATCTCAGTTTAAAAAAAAAAAATCGTTTTGTTATGAGTTGTCAATTCCTTGTCTGACATGAACAATCTGGATTTGCCACTGCATGTCTTAGTGGGCTCTCTGATCTCAAACAAGGACACCAGATAATCCTCTGATATGGTATCAACAAACGGGTAGGCTACCAGAAAATAATCTTGTGATCCAATGATAAGACAGGTACGAGAAAATCAATCCTTCCATCCTCAATACTAACAAATAGGATCAAGTCACAGAGGAATTATATTCTTCCTTTGCTATGAGACCAATGAATTGGAATAACTTGAAAAGAAATATCTTATTTTTAGACCAATCAATTGGAATATCCTACACAAATGATCTTTTCTGTCCTCAGAGACCAACAGACTGGATTGAATTAGTTGTATTACCTTCGTTCAGAGATCAACAAACTGGATAAATTAGTTGTATTACCTTCGTTCAGAGATCAACAAACTGGATAAATTAGTTGTATTACCTTCGTTCAGAGACCAACAAACTGGATTAAATTAGTTGTATTACCTTCTTTCAGAGATCAACAAACTGGATTAAATTAGTTGTATTACCTTCGTTCAGAGACCAACAAATTCAGGTAACTTAGACAAATAAAATTTTTGTTGCTCTGACACCAATCAATTATATTTTTTCATGTTTATTGATTTCTAATTTTTTTTAAATTAGGAAAGTAAAAATGTAGATAAATACATTTAAAAAAAAAACTTACTGGCCCGTGTTTTTAAAGGATTTTACTCCTGGGTTTGTGGGTGTTTTCTTTAAAAGGTTACCGGGCTAAAAGGGAAAGTATTGGGACTGAAAGAGTTAACTAAAGAATAATTATATTCTTATTATACTAACCTGCTGAACTAGTTTCATGGCAGATCTTTCTCTATCTTATAAAAAACAACAAAATCGGCTTTAATCAACCCAATATTTGCTCACAGATGACTACTGCATCAAATCCCTTTTTAAAATCAACACATCTGTGTATGAACATTTTCTGAAATCGTGAGTAAAAATATGTACAAATCTAAGTAAGTAAATATTATTAAAAAAAATGTAAATAAGCTCTTCAAAAATGAAATCCACAATGTAGCAGACATGTAACCCCCCCCCCCCAAGCTAGAGGGTCACCAGATTCTGTGAGTTGAGAGGTGAACTAGAGGAAAATTTAAGAGAGATGAACAGAAGAGAGATGAACCTGAGAGATGAATCAGGGAGATGACACTGTCTGACAGCCGATGTTGATTTCATTTCTGATGACCGCACAGTCAAATGTCTCATATATCACCAGGCCGTCTGAAATATGAGATGTATACAAATTAAAAATCTCACTGACTGAAGGCTGTGAAACTGGCTAGCTACTACAAAATGCAATCCATGGTACTTATCAACAGAAGGATGCAAAACCAGGTAAAACTGCTATAAAATCCATAGAAATCAACTAAAGCTGAGGTGTGCATGTGTGTACAAATATTGTTATCATAACATACACATGCTCATCAACAGAAATAAGTTATGTTGCTGTCTTAACATACAAACTATAGTTCTCATCAACTGAACTGACCAAATTGGTATCATAACACACAAACTATAGTTCTCCTCAAATAAAGCTGAATATACTGGTATCATAACACACAAAACTATTCTCATGAACTAAAGGAATGAGAATGGAAGTTGTTTAAAAAAAAGTCTTGCATATAATGTCACAACACCTAGCATGAGATGGAGGTGGAAGCAGTTACTGTTGGCTGGATAGCAGGACAGCCCAACATGTTCTAAGTGTGATGGACTCACAGAGCATCCTTTGGGAAATAGATATGGCATCCTGGGCCACAGAGCATCCTTTGGGAAATAGATATGGCATCCTGGGCCACAGAGCATCCTTTGGGAAATAGATATGGCAACCTGGGCTTCGAAGGGGCTTGCATCGCTTCGTAAGACTCAAAAGCAAATCATGGAATTTTTTGCCCAGGACATTTGGATATGCGTAGTAATGAACAGTCTGATAGATTGGCTGCTGCCAACCCTTTAGTTATAGTGCTGTCGTAACATAGAAACTTTTATTCTCATCAAGTGAAGATAAGTATACTGGTATCATAACAACCACATTATAGCTCTCATCAAATGAAAATTATATGGCTTTCATAACATAAAAACTTTCATTCTCATCAAGTGAAGATATGTATACTGGTATCATAACAAACACATTATAGTTCTCATCAAATTAAAACTATACGGCTTTCATAAACATATAAACAATCATTCTTATCAATGGAAACTGACTATATTTTGATCATAATACAGAAGCTAGAATTCTCATCAAATGAAATTGGCTATATAGCTGTCTTAACATTTATACTTTAGTTTTCACTGATGAAAGGATGTAAAACTAGGCCATAAAACATGCACAATGCACTGTACTATTCTTTTCTTGCAAACCATATAGTCCAAGTCTTTAATTGCAAACTACGCTGTCCTTTTCTTTTCTTGCAGATTATGCTGTCTTAGCCTTTTCTTGCAAACTACGCTGTCCTAGCCTTTTCTTGCCTACTACACTGTCCTAGTCTTTTATTACAAAATACGCTGTACTAGTCTTTTCTTGCAAAATACGCTGTACTAGTCTTTTCTTGCAAAATATGCTGTACTAGTCTTTTCATGCAAACTTCGCTGTACTAGTCTTTTCATGCAAACTTCGCTGTACTAGTCTTTTCATGCAAACTACGCTGTACTAGTCATTTCTTGCAAACTATGCTGTACTAGTCGTTTTTCTCCCTGTAAGTTGCCTGATCTGACAATTTTGCCACAGCAGCACAAACTGTTTCCTACTCTTTATGAAATCAGGGAACCTACTAGAGTCAGTGTACCTGCATGTCCGCAAGCATTTACGGTTGTATGTGTACATTCTTCTGAGAAACTGTTCCCCAGGATATCAACCAAACTGTTTTCTAGCATAGAGCTGGATGTTAAACCTAAAAACTGCCAGTGGAGCTTCCTTTTGGTTGAAAAACAATTAACCTGCTTAGTGTTCCCATAACAAGAAAATCATAAAAGGTGACTAACTAGTGGTGTTTTCTTCAGAGTGCATCTGCCTGAGAGGTGAGAGACCAACAGTGTGCACAGAAATAAACCTCTGGAAGGTTAGTTGCGTATCCTTTACAAGACGTTGCAGAACCAACCCTAACAGCCCCTGGATGTTGTGTGGTTTCTCTAGGCAAATTTACGTCCAGTAGTTTGCCATTGCTTTCCTGATACCACTGTCGAAACCAACGCAAGGCGCGTGGCCCGCAGCTGGGATCGAACCCGGCATTACAAAGCATTTGCATCGACTTAGCCACAGAGCTGACAGAAATTTAGCCACAGAGCTGACAGAAATAAACCAGGTATGTAAAATAGATATGCACACAAAAACTCTGGAAGAAGACTAAAGTCCAACTGTGGGCGAACAACCAGAAATTTTGGCTGCAGTTTACAGCTGGTGAATGCTAAGATGAAAAAGAAGATACTTGCAGAAACACTTGGCACCCAGCCATTTACTGTTGACTTTGACAAGTACATAGGAAGGCCAGAGCAATATTTGGTGAGGAACAAGTTCAACAAAAACTACTTACTGGCTTCATGTGAACGTTCTTGTGGTTATTTCAGTCCTAGGGAATAAACCAAACAGAAACTGATCAATAAGAAACAAAATTAAGATGTATGGCTTCCGCGGCCCTATCACAGGAAAATCAAGAATAGACCCACTGCCTACCCAAAAGCATGCCGTAAAAGTTGACTAATTGGGAGCTTCTTTTGAAGTTGGAGTGCATCTGCCTGAGAGGCAAGGAACCAGCAGTCTGCACACAAATGAGTCAGATCTGTGAAACATATGCACACACAAAACTTCAGGTTCTGGAACAGTACTGCAGTCCAAAAGTGGATGAACAACCAGAACTTTCCACCAGAGTTTACAGCTGGTGAACACAAAGAAGAAGAAAAAGAAGATGTACGGGTGTTTCCAAATTATGATGCGGTTATATTTTATTTGGATGCCATTAATATAAATGATGAATATGAAACTGAAATACTTTGCCAATTAAAAATTAAAATGCTGCAGTTGTTTAGAAAGAACAGTATCGTAACCCCTGATTCCTGCAGATAATTACCAACTAGACATGTACTGATTGGCATTCACATTAGGAAGTAGAAATAAGATGATGATTAAGATAATGAAAATGACAACAAAGATTAAGATAGTTATCAGTATAAAAAAGAAAATTAAGAAAAAATATATTAATGAAGATGATCACAGCAATGCAATCGACGAAAATTATGAAAATGACAATGAAGATGAGCAGATAATAATGAAGATGCTAGCAGTGGCGGTCATGATGGAAAAAAAAAAAAAAAAAACAGAGGGTCAAATTCTTTACAAAGTCTAACACCATTATGATGATGGTAGCAATCACAATGATGTTCTGCTAAGACACATGGTGGCGATATGACTACTACTACCACCAGTATGAGAACACGTCAGTGCTAACAAACATCCTACCTTCCAGGGCTTCCAAGGCATAATACTGAACATCAATGTCACTGTCTGCTCTCAGCTTCTCTAGAAGTGGCTTCACCTGGGTCTTAATGGTGCTGAGGCCATTGTGGAAGGGAGACAACATAGAATGTACATGATTAAATACTGACAGTAAACATACATTCGGGATTACACTTTAAGAACTGCTCTCAAATCTGTTGGCAGTAACACAGAAACATGGGAGACTGCTGCTATCCTCTATAATTATCTTTGCCATCTCACCACAAAGCCTTCCTACATGATTATCTCCTCCATCTCACCACAAAGCCATCCTCTATTGATTATCTCCTGTATCTCACCAGAATACGTTTCTCCATGATTATCTCATCAATCTCACCAGAAAACGTTTCTCCATGATTATCTCATCAATCTCACCAGAATACCTTTCTCCATGATTATCTCCTTAATCTCACCAGAATACCTTTCCCCATGATTATCAATCTCAATCTCACCAGAATACCTTTCTACATGATTATCTCCTTAATCTCACCAGAATACCTTTCCCCATGATTATCTCCTCAATCTCACCAGAATACCTTTCTCCATGATTATCTCCTCTATCTCACCACAAAGCCATCCTCTATGATTATCTAACCAATCTCACCAGAATGCCTTTCCCCATGATTATCTCCTTCATCTCACCACAAAGCCATCCTCTATGATTATCTCCAATATTTCACCAGAATGCCTTTCTCCATGATCATCTCCTCTATCTCACCAGAATACCTTTCTCAATGATCATCTCCTCTATCTCACCAGAATGCCATCCTCTATGATTATCTCCTATATCTCACCAGAATACCTTTCCCCATGATCATCTCCTCTATCTCACCACAAAGCCATCCTCTATGATTATCTCCTCTATCTCACCAGAATACCTTTCCCCATGATCATCTCCTCTATCTCACCACAAAGCCATTATCTATGATTATCTCCTCTATCTCACCACAAAGCCATCCTCTATGATTATCTCCTCTATCTCACCAGAATGACCTTCCCCATGATCATCTCCCACACCTCACCACAAAGCCATCCTCTATGATTATCTCCTCTATCTCACCAGAATGACCTTCCCCATGATCATCTCCCACACCTCACCACAAAGCCATCCTCTATGATTATCTCCAATATTTCACCAGAATGCCTTCCACCAGATAACCCCCTCTATTTCACATGAATGCCTTTTCCTACGTGCCTTTTGGTCAACACACTCATCTTCTTTAGGCATTTGTTGCCCAATTAGCCCTTCTGGTGAGTTCTGCAGGGATACTGCTCAGCCTCACAGCTGTTCCATCACCTTTGCTCCCTAATCCCCAAGTGGTACCCAAGCAAAACAAAGGATACAACATTAAGAGATAGGTGAGAATAAGCCTGCATGAGTGCTCAGAGAATATGAAGGACAGAGAGTTGGAGACTCTATAAATGGACCTTTTCATGAAACGGCATACGATGATGATGATAATTACACAGTAATAAAGCAACCGATGATCTGCGACACCTGGCGGCAAGTACTGACAAAAGACAAGAAAAAGAAGAAAGTAACACAAGACTTACTTCTGATCCAGATAAGGGGCTAATTTCTGAAGAGTCTTGGCCACATTGAACCTGACGTTAGCTACCGGGTCAGATCCCATGAGTATGATTGTAGGAAGCATCAGTTTTGTGGTCATTTCCTGTCCCATGGGCTCTGCAAGCAGCTGCAGGGTACATAACTCGTGTCAATAAATGGCAAAATTAAACAAAACTTGGAAGAGTAACACCCCTTGGTTTAAGCTACAGGGGGTTTCACAAGTAACGGTTTGTTTATGTTATATGTTGATGAAGGCTTTCCAGCTGCAACATTCATTTATCATTCATGAATGTGACAATGTGAAGCTGACTAGCTCTACTTCTCGTTCTGATTGAGATCTACTGATGACACAATATGGCAAACACGTTGCAGTGTTTATGTAAATGCACATCAGTGGCAAAGCACATGAGCCACTTTCCACAGCGCTGCCAATTATAAAAGTAAAGCAAAGGATGCTGTCCACGTCTTCAGGCATATTGGGCATTTGTTGTTGTTCTTTGTTCACTGGCTTTAATTGTTTGTCTCTTTGGACTCTGGCTTTGTGCCAGGGCCTGAGTTTTGCGTGTACATCCGTTTTACCGGCTTATTTGTGTGCAGTTGGTTGTTACTTGCCGCTCAGGTAGATGCACTCTTGACTTCGAAGGAAGCTCCCAAACAGTTGACTCGGACGAAGTGTTTTTTCGGGAAGGCAGTGGTTCTACTCTTGTTTTCTTCACAATGGGACCCCCGGAACCCACATGTGGGTCCCATACTAGAGGGAAAAAAAAAAGAATTGACCTACTGTCGTAAGAAAACTAATTATCGGTGTTCCTTGGAGCACAGATGCCTGAGAGGTTCTGCATACAAATAAGCAAGAAAAAAGAAAGATCTTTAAAAAATAAATGTGAACAAGACCAAAGTCCACAAGTGGACGAACAACCTTAACTTTCAGCCAGTCTACAAATGGTAAATGTCAAGAAGAATAACAAGAAGAAACACACAGTCCATTTCCGAACATGGTCTACTAGTAAGCATCCTACGCTGGACTGTGAGTTCCAACTTGGTATCTATATGAGCACCCTAATATAACTGTTATATGGTTGAACAGGGTGTCTAGGATTTCCTCCTGTGTGATTATCCTCCTTGAAGATTTAATCCAATGGTCAACAATCCTGTTAGGGAAAATAACCACCACCAACCCTAAAAAGACCCTTTCACGTTTGTGTCCCATTCATCATCAATTTCTACTTCTGATGTTAAGCGTTGTGGGGAGGAACAGTTTGCAGTCTACTGCTTAATGGGCAGCAATAGCTATTTGTATTCTGTGTCGATGTAGGCGCCCGTTAATGTTATCACTCCATTTTCTTCTAAGGCGGCCTCTTGCTTTCTCTTCAAATCTTTTCATGTGTAGTGCCTGCGCTGGTAGCCGTTTTGGCTGCATTCTTACTAAATGACCAAACCAACTGATCTTTTGTTTCTCAATGAATTTACTGCATGGTGTTGTTCCTACAGTCTGCCTGATATCACTTCTAACTTTGTCTCGGATGGTTGAGTTGGCGGCTTTTCTCAGGCATCTGATTTCACATGTGTTAATTTTACATAGGTTAGCCTACGATAATGTCCAAGTCTGGCACTGGTAGCACGTTTTGGTATGAATATGCTGTTTATAATCTGTTTCTTGGCGCTCATACCCATGTTCGAATGTCTTAACAATGATGTCAGTTGGTATATAAGTGTACTGGCCAGTTGTTAATCTTGTTTCTATTTCCCTGATCTATTCTTCCGACCTCCCACAATATACTTCCTAGATATTTAAATTCTTTAACTTGCTTTAGACATGTACCATTCAACCCCCCCCGATATTTAATGGACTAAGAATTCTGCTAACCTGCATAATTTCAGTTTTAGTAGCATTCATTTTCATGTTATATCATCTGCATGTTGATCTTAGCCTGTTTAAACGGTTCTGCAGTCTACTCCCCTCAAATAGTAATCTTGGTTTCAGCTTCATAGCAAACAGGTCACCCCATAGTTGCTTTGCTCCTGTGCCAAAGAAAAACACAGAATGTCCAACCCGGTCCCTTATGGTAAAATTGAAACAGCCTGCAGCATATCCACGCATTCAGTGCTAACACAAACAATCCGACATTAGATCTTTGTGTTAATGAACAGCTTTCATTAGACATTAGTAGGCCATCTAGTGCTACAGCTATAGTGACCGGAACTTGATGGGAGATATAGTCAACATCAGCTGACCGAATTTACCTTCTAGAACCTAGCCGGCATCCGTTTTAGGCTGGGCTGACTTGGGAGGCAAAGGTTCATTTTGAAAAAAAAAAAAAAAAAAAAAAAGGAACATCCACCTAGATGCAGATATGAACATTAGATGGCAGGCGAGAGACTAGCAGCTATGCTACAATGGTTTCTTTAGAGGTGAGACATCGTTACTTCCACACCCAGACCAATAAAGATCAAGAAGAAGCAGAAGATGTTGAAGTCAAAGAAGAGGAAAAAGAAGAAGAAGCATGAGCAGGAGGTCAGCGAAGGAAAAAAAAAAGGAAAAATAAGCAAAGAAAGGGAGGGAGAGGAAAATAGAAAGCAGCAGGAGGAAGAGGAGGGCAACAAGGAAAGTAGGGGGAAAACATGATGCAGAAAAACAGGACAAAAAAGAATTGGGAAAAAAAGAAGAGAAGGAGAAGCAGGAACAAAGCCCTATTCCAGGATTATATTAATGAAGTATTATAACAAAACAACCAGGCTTAACTTTCAAATAAATAGAACAAAAAGAGAGGAAAAACAAATGAGATAGAACAAAGAGACAATCTCCAAACTAAGAGGCAGGCTGGACAACTCACATTGACACAAAAAAGGCAGGTCAAACGATGCAGATAGTTCTGATCCTTCGACATCTGTAGCACCTTTGGGACAATCGTCTGCTGAGCCCAATCTTTGCCAAATTTTTCAGCCAGCTTCTTTATATTCAGAGTGGCAGCTTCTCGAATTGCATATACTGAAAAATTCGAGAAAAAAACACGTTATAAAAGGACTTCTTCACATTCACCGTCTGTAAACTTCAGCAAAAAGTTCTACCGTTTATCCACTTTTGGACCGTAGCCTTGTTCCAGAACCTGAGTTTTGGAAGCTTATCAGATTTACAGATCTGTCTTATTTATATGTAGACTGCTAGTTCATCATCTCTCAGGCAGGACCACTCTGACTTTGAAGGAAGCACCCCTATTAGTTGACTCTTAAGACATGCTTGTTAGGGAGTGGATCCATCTTTTGTTTTTCTATAATGGGGCCCCAGAACCCATAAAGGGATTTTGAGGATTTTAATGACACACAGGGTGTAGAGATGCAGATCTACAAACAAATGATGTAAATACTCTGGAAGTCGGTTAACCTGGAAGCCCAGGTCAGTTTAACAAATTTGACTTGATAGGGACCAGAACCCATGTGTGGTGGACACCTGTGATGCTCCCAGAATGATGCTCAGTGTCAACTGCTCTGCTTCCTCTTCTTGTCAGTCAGTCAGTTACTAATGTATGTACTCACCCCTTCTCGTTCTGGTGTAGACTGCAGGGTATTTGAGCCTGGGGATACAGGGCCGCATGGCAAGTGCTGACGTCAAGGACAGTGCAGGTTAGAATGCTTAATTCTGTCCCCCCCAAGAAAAATCCATTCACTCATTCTCTAAATAAGAAATCAGCCAGTTTAAAACTACTTAATAACAGGGAAAATTATGGCATGATGTCCTCCTCAAATCAGTCATTACTGCTCCAAAGATGGCAATCAATAATAAAGAACAGTTATGTTAGTGGAAGGAACTAAATACTCACCATGGTCTACCAGCCACGCCATACACAGGGAGTTCAGCTTCTCATCAAAGAACTCTACCCCCTGCAAATAATGAGGAACATTATTATAAGGGAACTTCACATGTAATTAGCATTAGGGAACTTCACAGGCGATTATCATAAGGGAGCTTCACAGTCGACTATCACAAGGGAGCTTCACAGTCGATTATCGCACGAGAACTTCACAGGTAATTATTTTAAGGAAACATCACTCATATTTATCATTAGGGTAATACTCACTCCTAATTATCACAAAAGAGCTTCACAGGTAATTATCAGAAGTGAACTTCACAGGCAATTATCAGAAGTGAACTTCACAGGCAATTATCATAAGGGAACTTCACAGGCAATTATCATAAGGGAACTTCACAGGCAATTACCATAAGGGAACTTCACAGGCAACTACCATAAGGGAACTTCACAGGCAATTACCATAAAAGAACTTCACATGTTATTCTCCTGCTATGCTGTTTTATCACATTTATAACTATAGCTGCAGCTGCTATACAACCAGGCACGATCTAGCCACATAAACAGAGATGGCTACTCACCAACTGACCAGCCAGCAGGGGCATGTATTCAATGATGGCGAGTCGAACCCTCCACTTCGTGTCCTCGGCAAGCTCCACGATGGCTGGCAGCAGGGATTGTGACAGCTGCTTAACACCAATCACCTCATTCACACAGTCCAGGTTGGAAATGATGTTCAGCCGCACTTCCGGGCATTCATCTGAAACAGAATATGGACAATATTTCCCTCCTTGTTTTTCAACATGTTTTTGCATAACATAGGGTACGCTGAAACATTAGCGATAAATATGAGCAATGTAAATAAAATTCAGAACAATGTTTTCACATTGTAAATTTAATTAATGCGGACACAAACAATACACTGCAAAATTTACTGCCTGGCATATTTTGCTGCATCTTGTCAGGTGCATTGCTACAGAGTTAAATCAACGTATAATCAAGCACAAAATGATTCCTTTTCTTGCTGAAATGCATAAACCACATTGTCGAGTTGTGTACATCTATCCGCCGGAAATTCAAAATCAAAACCAGTCACGTGACTACCAGGATAACTTTCAACTGATCACATGATCTTTTTATTTACATAACAAAGAAGAGTAGAGTTCTACTGATACAGCCTTGTTTAATTTTAGCAAACTCTGTTCAGTGTGTGGTTAAAAAAATCCTGAAAGCACAATCTTCAGCAACTACGTATCCAGAGTCAAGCAAATGACGTCCTATCGAAGAATTATGTCCTCTTCTTGGCTGATCTTGATGCAGCATCACGACTCACTTGTGTGTAGAGCCATTTAGGGATGTGTTCTGCCACTCTGTTTTCAAGCTGTCTGACCGATGTAAGTCAAGTGACACTTACTGTGTAAATTGATAAATGCAACTGGATTTGGTGTATGGAGCTACCGGTTCTTTAACAGATGGAGATACAATGTCTGCAGGACCAACTAAAAACAGCTGCCGGTGAAACATTTTTTTGCCACTGTCCCAGTGGTGAGATACAAGACCACTCCCAATGACTTAAAGACAACACAGCCATGCTTCACCAAGCTTAACTCCCAGGTCATGCAATGGGAGATAGAAAATTTTTTCTTCACAATAGAAATCTGCCACATCCGAGATCACCTTAAGCGGTCTGCATAGTAACTGGGGCAATCGTATCAGCCTGAGGTAGCCTGCAGGCCTTTCCAAGTGTGCTGAATCCTGGCCTGGAAACATGATCAAATATCTCTCTGCAGATATGAAGTCCCAGCACTATGTTTGTAAGCTTAGAACTGGGAAAAGTGATCTCCGCAACAGTCCCTCTTGGATGGTCTAATGCCAACTGGGGAAAGGAGGTCTCTGCAACAGTCCCTCTGGGATGGTCTAATGCCAACTGGGGAAAGGATGTCTCTGCAACAGTCCCTGTGGAGTCTGATGCAAACTGGGGAAATGAGGTCTCTGTAACAGTCCGGTGGAGTCTGACCCCACCTGGGAAAAGGAGATCTCTGCAACAGTCCCTATGAAGACTGTCTAATGTCATCAAGGAAAAAGAGATTGCATTATTCCCCATGGATATTGTCTAACGCCAACTGGGGAAACAAGATCTTTGCATCATTTCCCATGGAGACTGTGAAATGCCAACTGGGGAAAAGAGATCCCTGCAACAGTTCCCATGGAGATAAATATCAAACCTCCTCTGTCACATCTTACAACATGTTTGATATGTTATGCTGTGATCATTCTTTGCTCCCATCATGGGCCCCTGTAACACATAAATAAAGATAAACACCATCCATCCACCATTCAGTTATATCAACACATATTCTACTGCACGTCATCTTCTTCTTAATTTTCTTCAGCCCTGTTCTGCCTTTTCAACATCAGGTTTTGAAGAGGCATCAGGTTGAGCCTTGATGTGTGTTGCGTAGATGCTGGTATTCATGGTCTATGACATTCCATCTACTGAACGCCTGCATGTTCCATCTCTAGTTCTGCTTCCATTATGTCTAAGGGACAGGGCTCTTTGTGCTGTATTTTCTGGTTGTAGTCTTGACACATGACTAAACTATCTTGACACATGACTAAACTATCTTGACACATGTCTAAACTATCTTGACACATGTCTAAACTATCTTGACACATGACTAAACTATCTTGACACATGACTAAACTATCTTGACACATGACTAAACTATCTTGACACATGACTAAACTATCTTGACACATGACTAAACTATCTTGACACATGACTAAACTATCTTGACACATGTCTAAACTATCTTGACACATGTCTAAACTATCTTGACACATGTCTAAACTATCTTGACACATGTCTAAACTATCTTGACACATGTCTAAACTATCTTGACACATGTCTAAACTATCTTGACACATGTCTAAACTATCTTGACACATGTCTAAACTATCTTGACACATGACTAAACTATCTTGACACATGTCTAAACTATCTTGACACATGTCTAAACTATCTTGACACATGTCTAAACTATCTTGACACATGTCTAAACTATCTTGACACATGTCTAAACTATCTTGACACATGTCTAAACTATCTTGACACATGACTAAACTATCTTGACACATGACTAAACTATCTTGACACATGACTAAACTATCTTGACACATGTCTAAACTATCTTGACACATGTCTAAACTATCTTGACACATGTCTAAACTATCTTGACACATGACTAAACTATCTTGACACATGTCTAAACTATCTTGACACATGTCTAAACTATCTGATCCACTGTCCCTTGATGGAGTTTAGTTCTATCATAATCATCTTTCAATTTAATTAAGTTTCTGTGTGGGTTCCAGGACCCAGGGGGAGAGAAACAGACCAACTGCTTCCTAGAACAACTGCTTCCTAACAAGAAAGCATGTCATAAAAGCTGACTATTTAGAAATTTGACGAAACTGAATGTGCTAGACTGAAAGACACAGATATCATTGCCTAGTTGTAAACCACAACACAGCATTGTCAACTGCCCTTTCGAGGGTGAACACAGAAGAAGAAGAAGAAACACACCTTTCAGCTGTATCAAGAACAGCGGCAACAGATGCTCAATTGTGTTGTCCTTTCCCAGAATCGGAGACAGGCCCATGATAACTGAGGCCAATGCTGACTTCACATGTGGATTGGCATCAGCCACCAAATCCTTCACACATGGTAGAATGTTGTTAAGTATGATCTGCTCACGCACATCCGATGGTAAAGCTTGACAAAAATCTGCAGATTAGAATGGAAATAATCAAACACTGGAGAAAATAAATCAGGATACTGCATGACATGTAAGTAACACTGAAGGAAACTTGGATACCTTATGTTAAACATGTAACACTGAAGGAAATCTGGATACCTTATGTTAAACATGTAACACTGAAGGAAATCTGGATACTTTATACTAAATATGTAACATTAAAATAAACCTGGATACTCTGATACATGTAACACAGAAGAAAATATGGGTATTCTGTGTTATATAAGCAACATTGAAGAAAATCTATATATGGTATACATCTTACAGTGAAAAAACCTGGATACTTTCTGATATGTGTAGCATTGTAGTAAACCTTAATACTTTATGATTATAATACACACTGATACTGCAAATACATGGGTGATTCAGTAAATAGACAATGTTGCAAATATACAGATGACTAAAAACACATGTGATAAATGCAGAATTATGTCTAAAAACCATTAAATAAAAGATACAGATCTTGAGAATAAGCCAGGCAAACAGTATTCCAGTTTCTCCAGGTGATATCCCACTTTAAGACGTGCAATCATACGACTATCTGGTCAGCAATGTAGACAAAGATGGGGGAACTGATAGAGGTATTAAAATACAAATGGTAAGAGGAACTTTCACAGCGCTAGGAAATTTGTGAAAGTCATAGGAAATTAAAACCAGTACCAAACTTAACGTTTTTAACTTTAATGTCAAATCAGCCCTGCTGCATGGAGTGGAAACATGGAGAACAACTAAAACAATTACTAATGAACTACAAACATTCATTAACAGGTACCTGTGAAGAACGGAGGGAATTAAATGGTATGATAGAATCACTAAAGTGGAGCTTTGGGGGAGAATTAAATAAACTCTAATGAATTAAGAGTTGAAGAAAAGATGCCAGTGTCGGATAAGACACACATAATAAAACTTGAGAACAATATAACTAGAATGTATTTATACTGGGACCAAGGTACATAGAAATAAGGGCAGACCCCCTCAATCCCCCAAAGAAAAGCAGAAACAAAACAACACGGGGAAGAGAGCTAGGGAATAAAGTTAAAAGGATGATAAGGACATTATTAGGTGAGCTGCATTAGCTAAGAACAGGAAGATTTAGCACAACTTGGTTGAAGGTCTAAGATCCACTGACGGATAAAGGGAAGAAAAACAAAGACTAATAATAATGAATACAAGGGTGATACAAATCTGACACTAACAGATACACTGGTGACACTGTCAATGCAGGACAACGACACTGGAAGGGCTTGAGCACAAACCTTTAACTTTACTAGCTGATACTGCGCGAACTTCTGCCTCACAATCCTTCAACAAGTTCTGGAAGGCTGGAACCAGATCAGCTTTGGTGATCTCTGGTCCAACAGCTGCTTGCAGCTGGCGGAAGCAAACATGTATTAGCACAATTAGCCAGGCAGAATAACAGTAGGCGAAAATGGCTATGTCCATGTGACTTATCTTTAAAAACCAATGGTATTTGCATTAAGGGAGCATCTGTGCCCTGGCAGGCACAGCTTCGAATCCCCTTCAAAGGTGGATTTCTGAACAGCAATCCAGGTGCCTGGCATGATTGTGACCACACTACCCATTGAGTGCTGACTGGTCTATAAAAACACATGACTAGCAGCACATACTCAAAATGCTTCAAGGTGCGGAAACTGATGCCTCATTTTGACCTACAATGGTGTCCAAAATTCTAGACCCCCTAGTAAACAACTCATTTTCCAATAGTTACAAAGTAACTATTTTAGAGCACACTAAATCACTATACTTTTTTTGGCACCAAAAGTGAAGAAGGCAACAAAATACAAGAACTGATAAAAAGAAAGCATTCTGGGCATGCAAAGAGATAAAAGGTCTGGAGGAGACAGTCAGAAGAAAGTAAGACATCCTTGGGGAAAGGCAGAAGATGAAAACCATAACACAGTGTTTTAAACTTTTTTTACTCTAGGAATGCTTTTAAAAAAAAGGGTTATAAACATATGGGCATTCCCCAAAAAATCCTTAAAAACAACCATTTTACATCATCATCATCATCAAAAACAAATTCTGCCGTTAAGTGTTGTGGGGAGGAATAATTTGCGATCCAGTGCACGCTGGCTGCCACTGGCAACTGTCATGCTGCGGAGGCGTAGAGTTTTTTTTTAATGTTGTCGATCCATTTTTCCGCGGCCGTCCTCTTGCCCTTGTAGCTGATCTTCTGAGATGTAGTGTCTGTGATGGTATTTGATCTTGCTTTATTCTATCGAGATGGCCAAACCACTTGATCTGCTGTTTTTTGATGAATCTAGTACAAGGTGTTGTTCCCACAGTTTGTCTGATAGTGTCATTATTTACTCGATTTTGGATGGTTGGGTTGGCTGCTTTTCTCAGGCATCTCATCTCACAGGTGGTGATTTTTCGTATATGGACTTTGGATAGTGTCCATAATGTAGCCTCTGCCTACCTTCATCCTAGCTGACCCCTGCCTCTTCTTCCAGGAATCATGCTTCTCCATTACTTTCTAAACAACAGCATGGTTATATGACCAAAGTGTTTCAGCTTCCAAAAGACACTTGTTAACAAGACATTAAAAAAATTTTCATATAAAAAAGGTCAGTATTTTTCTTATTTTCTCTGATTATCTTCTTTACCCCCCCCCCCCCCCACCCCCCCCCCCAAACCGTTACAAACTATACTATACCGATTACACTGTTTTTGCTCAAAGACACTTTTCCAAGGTTAAAGTGATGTCAATATATAACACAGCGATAAGACCAACTGGCCTCTATGGCTCTGAAACCTGGAATACAACTAAAAGAGTTGATGCTTTATTGCTAACTTATGAGAACAGAGTCTTAAGACAAATCTTTGGATCCAACAATGATGCAAATAGTGGAGAATGGAGAGTGAGAAGCAACAATGAATTCATTACTTGTTTAAATCATCACTAATTACTAATAAAGTGCAATGTCTGGGGCACACAGATAGAATGTCAGAAAACTGACAAAAACTGTACAAAAAAAAGAGATGAATGGGGGGTAGACCATGCGACAAAAAATATGGAGAGATAATATACAAACAGACCTACAAACACTGATTTTTTCAACTGGAAAGAGAAGGTCAGTCAGAGACAGGAATGCAGGCCGATGATATTTTCAGCAAAGAACCTCAAGGGTTTGCAAGGCAAAAGAAGAAGAAGAAAGTGAAGTCACGCATCTCTGCTTACTTCTGTGAACTTGTCGGCAACCATGTAGCGGACTCTCCAGGATTTATCTTCTGCTGCTTGGCGAAGACTGGGCATTATCAGCTGCTCCTTGCTATCAGCTGGGAGCAACGCTACAATGCTCACGCTTGCCTCCACTGCCAACAAGCGAACAGAGTCCTGAGAAAAAAAAACATACAACAATGAATGTTTTGACAAAATTTGTTATTAATGAACAAGACTTTCATTATTTGCTTAAAACAGCCTAGCCACAGCCACTGAATTCATCACACTAGTCGATTCCTCCTTGAAAAAATGGTTGATGCATTTCCATTTCTGGAGACAGATTTGTAAGAATTTTCTCTCTAGACATTTGCAGTCTCCCTGCTGATCATACTTGTCTTGGATGTCTACATGTGCACTGGACTGATGTTCCAATTTTAAATTATGTATAAACATGCCCAGGTATTTGACTGAGTTCTGAGGAATTGATAAATGACAAGTTCTTGTCCTAGAACTGATTGCTTTCTGACTGATATGATCCATCTTTTTCTTCCTGAGGCATGAGACTGATGCTTTAGTTGCTCTTTGGGCACTTTACCTGGCCAGCTGATCAGCTCTCTTATTTCAAGGAACACAGCAGTAAGATTGTATCCACGCATGATGACTTTATGCTTTATGTTTAATCAGCACAGACTTTTTGTGCACCGTTTGTCAACTCCAGCCAAGTCTTGGTTGGTCATCCACTTCTGAAATTGAGTCTTGTTCCAAGACTTGAATTTTGTCCTGTATATCCATCTGACAAATCTGGCTTACTTTTGTGCAAGAGTACCGGGTCTTTGCCCCTGACTTCCTATCAATACTTGCAAGACTCTGATAGGGAAACTGTTTCCAGGACCACAAAAAAGTGTACAAATGTTCAGATAACTATGAGCCCTAGTTCTGGTGCACCATCACATCTGCATCCACAGTATACTGGTATTTTCAGACTGGATTAAAATATACAACACAAACTGAAAACAGCTGGAAAACTAAAACACCACAATCATAACAGGCAATGAATATGTTTCAAATGAATGTATAATGACCAATGCCCAAGTTCGGGAAAGAATAATATGGTCAGGTAGAAGGAGACAGGTATGTTTAAGCTGAAGGAAGAAATGAAAGAAATTCACACCCAAAAAAATTACCAAATAAGTAGCACCCTACATATTCATGTGAACAAGCTAGCTATAATCGTCTGTTTTCAGTTAACATTATTATTCAACTTCCCATCTCACATTCTATTTTATCTTTTCTCCCCCCTTAACCATGATTCACATTAAAAAATCTCTCTAGAATCGATGTCTGATAGCACTATTATGCAACTTGCATGCCTTCCTCCACCACCATCCGCTGACATTAAAAAACTTCTGACAATTGTTTAATTAACATTGGTTTAAACCTTCCCATTCCCACCCCCTGTGTTCTTTCATTCCATATTCCCCATATGATTCACCCTCACCAGGTCCCTGATTATAACCCTGTTTCCACGATGACCATACAGAGCGGTGTAGTCTTGACCAGTATGAGTCCTGGTGCACCACCCTTTGTTTCTCTGTGCTAATAATAAAAAAATAAATCCACACAACTGTTGTCTGCTAACATCATTAACAACCTTCTCCCTGTCACCATCCCCTGCCATGTGTTCCCATGTTCCCCATTTTCCTTTTTTCTTCATGTCAAAAAAAAAAAAAAAAAAAAACTTCCCACAACTGTTGTCCGCTAACATTATTAACCACCCTCCCACTCCTTGACCTCTTCCGTGTATTCTTACTTTCCCTATTTCCCATCTCTTCATGTTTAAAATTTTTTTTTCCACAACTGTTTTCTGCTAACATTTATTAGTGACCTTTCCTTTCCATGATCCCCCTCCCCCACTTCCTATACTCTCCCAGCTATTCATGTTACCAAACCTGTTATAACTGTCATCTGTTTACACCTTTATTTACCTTCCCATCCCTTGACTCCACACCCGTCTTCCTGCCTTCCTCCAAGATCACTCACCTGTTCATCCTGGGCCAGCATGTTGAAGAGTTGAATGAGGTCAGATTTAAGATAGTCTAGCTCCACCACTTTGGCAAACTCCCCGAGCTTTGCTGCGGCAGCACGGCGGACCATAGGTGTATCATCAGCACACAAGTTACGGAAATTCCTGATTGAGGAACAGGTCGGAATCTGTATAAGTATACTGTAATATCTCATTCCACATTTTGCATAGCATTAACCCTTTAGCCTCAAAGATGATATTTAAGCTTTGCTAGCTGTTAGAAATTCTTGATTAGCCAATGACACACTCGCCAGTCCCTTCTGTGCTTTTGTGTTTGCCCCAGCAGTGTTTAGAAGGGTCGGATATGATTATATTTACTAAAAATAACACTTTTGGGGGGTGTTAACGGGAGAAGATGACATTTAAATAAAAGTCATGATGGTGTCATAATTTACCTCCTGTATCCGTCCTATAGCGACAGTGTCACTAATGTCACAGTGTATTATGTTTTTTGGTGGACGAAGGAAGTTTATCCATTTAATTCTCTGCTCTACTCATATTAAGTGTTACCCCTATCTAGTGTGACCAGGCGCCGCCCGGTTAAGAACATGTTTCTAAGATGATGCGGAGGGGTGCAGACAGGCCTTAATGAATGAGAGCCCTGGTCCCGGTGCACCACTCTGTATAGTTCGGCACCTCTGCGAAAAAAAAAAAAAAAGAGTCGTTTTTACTACTTTTCTGGAAAAGTAAAGAAATTCTTCACTCTGTGGACTCTGCCAGTCTAACAATTATTTCCTTGACTAAATACGCATTCAAGCATGCATAAATTACTTCCTTTTTTTAAAAATCCAGAAACCATGAGTTGTTAACCCTTTGGCTCGGTACTATGGATATCGCAACACTTCAGCCTTGATTCCATGATAGATACCGTAAATCTAGGAGAAATGTGGCTTTTCTGCCTACCCCGGGAGTGAACCTTTACCACAAGGAGTTCGTCACCCGGTCACAGCTAAGTCACGTTTAATGTTTAACTAAACAACAACGCTAGAGAGCCGGGCAAATTACTTACTTAAAGAGTTGCATGCATCCTGTCCCAATTCTCCAGGTTCAATACAATTAGTTCAGAGCTTTCATGTACGGGCAGCCCCAGTAGCGCAGTGGCTAGATACAATGATAGCCTGCTGGCTCAAATATCTAGGGTTCAAATCCACATTGAAAGATTTTTGTTGCTGTTGAAAACTAACCTTGGCTATTAGGCTGACCCAGCCTAAAATGGGTAACAGGTAATGTCCTGGGAAGTAAAGGTGGTGGGTGTGATGCTGATCACATCACTCACCGAGTGCTGACTGGGCTATAACAATTTAGGCCTTGAACTATATGACCCTCCGGTGTGGGTTCAGTGGCCCTATTCTGGGGAAAACAAGAACAGACCCACTGCCTACCCAATAACATGCCATAGTAGTCGATCAATTGGGGACATCCTTCAAAGTCGGAATGCATCTGTCCGAGAGGCAAAGAACCAACATCTGCATACAAATAAGCCAGATCTGTAAAACACATGTGCATGCAGCACTCAGGAAGTCGAGAGGTAGATGAAAAACTATAACTCTCCACCGATGAACCTGAAGAAGAAGAAATATGACAGATGCCCCCTAAGACACTGAAAGCGACCTTTACCTTTATTCATTGTTTTTATATCTCTTCATAAGTAAAAAAAAACTGTTAAATAAGCCTTTAGCAATCACATGAACATCAACATCTTTACCTACTTCACCCTGAAAAGGGTTGCTAACATGCTGTGTTGCGGTTGATAGCCAGGCTGCATTATCTGTGCCTTTCAAGCTGATACATCCGATTTCAACAAACCCTTATTTAGCTGGCTTTTACATCATAGCAGTGTGCCTTCCCCCCTTCCCCCCAAGATAGGGCCCGGAAACCTCACTGGGATACTCTAAATTTTATTTTCATTGGATCACACCCCATTCTCAACACAATGATAATAGAATGCCCTCAAGCCTTATTTTTTTTATGTTTTGTTGTTAGGTCTAATTCCATGTCAACTAAACTGCTAAATAAACTAACTAATCAGATGAGTCGCATGAACATGTAAATAAAGTTAAAACAAAAAACACAGGACTCACTGTCGCAGCTCTGCTTTCACAGTCGATGACACCCGCTTGTAACAGACGGCGAAGAGCCCACATGCTGAAGTCCTGGATGTGAACCAATCACCTGGTAGAGAGAATTTCATTGGCTTGAATATGCAGCAGTCACCAATAATTCTAACTCATACAGAGGGTGTAGAGGTTCATAATACTATTTTATTTTCTCTGAGATTATTCGGTCTATAACTGGTGACTATATACTTTTCTCTGGCATACTCTGGTTCGTAAAAGAATAGATCTTATTCTATCTGGAATAATTTGGTTAGTAAAGGATTTGAAATTTATTTACTCTATTCCCTGTGTGGGTTTCGGGAGCTCCATTGTGGTGTGTGGGGGGGGGGGGGGGGGGGGGGGGGGGGGGGGGGGGGGGGGGGGTGGGGGGGGGGGGGGGGGGGGGGGGGGGGAGGAGAGCAACTGTCTACCTAACAAGCATCTTGTAAGAGTTGACTAATTAGGGGTTTCTTTTAAAGTCGCAGTGCATCTGCCGAACAGATAACAGTCTGCATACAAATAAGCCAGATCTGTAAAAGCAGATATAAACACAAAAAATCATGTTCAGATGTGGATGAACAACCAAAACTTTCAGCCAGAGTTTACAACCGGTCAATGGAGGGGAAAAAAGATTCATTCTATGATAATTTGATTTGCAAGGGATTATTACCTTATTTTCTCTGTTTTTCTAAAGGCTTACTTTCATTGCACGTGCATATCTCCATAAGGGCTTACATCTCGTCCTAAAGATCATACAAGAGAAGAACTGAAGCAAAGAGCACCAACCCTTATCACTGCCGATAGGTATCATAATATCTGAACATGAAAAACACTCAAAACCCGGCGGAAAGTTCTGGTTGTTCATCCACCTCTGGACGTTAGTCCTGATCCAAAATCTAAATGCTGCATGCACATCCGATTTACAGATCTGACTTATCTGTGTGCAGATTGTTAGTTCCTTTTCCCTTGGGCAGATGCACGCCAACTTTGAAGAAAGTCCCCATATAGTAAACTCTTACGACATGCTTGTTGGGGAGGCAGTGGGTCTATTCTCAATATCAGGCCCTGGAACACAAATGAGGGGACTCAGGATATAACAATTTATTGTTTGTTGTTGTATGGGCATATTTTATAATTTGGAATTCTGTCTGGCTTACCAATGTACTCTTTACACTTTAAACTACTGAAGCTGTCCACGTGAGCATGGGCTATTTGAGTGTTTTGTTCTTGTCAGAGAAGGCTACCCATCTGATCCATTATTATAAAAGGCAGAGGCTAATCCAATTCTTAGGTATAAATCAGTGTTTCTCAAGCTTTTCAAGCCTGTGGCTCACTCAAACGGGGAAAAATGTTTCGGGGTTCATCTGACATTTAACCAAACAGAGAAGCCATAACAAATTCAGATAGCAGTTTATTTGTTAAACCCGGTAACACAGAATTGCGATTATTAGCAGATTCCAAATCTTTTGATTCTCATCCTTGAGGGGTTAATCTTACAGAATGCCACCTGGAAGAACGAGGTTAAAACCCTGCGCCCCCATGTGTCAGACACAATTTATTGCTGTTTTAAAGCCCAAAATAACCCAAACAATGGGTTGAACAGGGTTTCTAGGACCTATCCCTGGGCGATCCTCATCCAAATATTGGCACATTGTGTTATCGCTCAGTGTGATATCTTGGTGGTGTTGAAAGTCATTATCATCATCAACCTGGAAGAGAAAAACTACCTACCATACCCTGTTCTATGATCAAACATACATTTCTGGCGACCCACCGATTGAAGAAAACTGGTTTAAAGGAGCTTCAAACCTGTGTTTCAGCATTTGCCCTTGGGCTGAAGAGAAACCTTTTTTTTGGACATGTTTATCTTCTGTACCTTTTTGCCATGTTTGGTCTATTTTCATTATCCCTGCAGTGTAGTGCTTTCTCTGTCATCTTTCCTCTTCCACACTTCAATATCTCAGTGTCTTGTTTAGTCTTTCCCCTTCTACACTTCAATAACTCATGTCTTAAGCACTCTTTCTTCTTCTACACATCAATATCTCAGTGTTTTGTTCAGTCTTTCCTCTTCTACACATCAATATCTCAGTGTTTTGTTCAGTCTTTCCTCTTCTACACATCAATATCTCAGTGTCTTGTTCAGTCTTTCCTCTTCTACACATCAATATCTCAGTGTCTTGTTCAGTCTTTCCTCTTCCACACTTCAATATCTGTGTCTTGTTTAGTCTTTCCTCTTCTACACATCAATATCTCAGTGTCTTGTTTAGTCTTTCCTCTTCTACACATCAATATCTCAGTGTCTTGTTCAGTCTTTCCTCTTCTACACATCAATATCTCAGTGTCTTGTTCAGTCTTTCCTCTTCTACACATCAATATCTCAGTGTCTTGTTCAGTCTTTCCTCTTCTACACATCAATATCTCAGTGTCTAGTTTAGCTTTCCCTCTTCCACTCTTCAATATCTCAGTGTCTTGTTTAGTCTTTCCCCTTCTACACTTCAATATCTCATGTCTTAAGCACTCTTTCTTCTCCTACACTGCACAGTAGAAGTAATTTTCAGAGAAATACTTACTTACTTAGTCGCTCCTCTTCTACCTTGGGGTGTAGAGGTTTGCCAGAGAGATCGCCAGACGTCTCTATCAGCAGTTTTCTTTCTGGCTTTGTTCCATTCCAGTCCTCTGTCATCAGGGACTGTCGGATGTTGTCTTCCCAGCGCACCTGGGGTCGTCCCGGAGGTCTGGTTCCCTGGTTCTTAGCCTCCCATGCTTGCCATGGTGGCCGATTTTCTCCCATCTGCACACATGTCCAAACCATCGTAACTGTGACTGATCCACTCGGGTTAGTAAGGGCTGGGTATCAAGATCTTGACGTATTGTCTGATTGCGGACTTTGTCCCTTCTTGTCACTTGGACCACCTTTCTCAGGTATCTCATTTCCGAGGCCTGCAGCTGGCTTCTGTGAGCTGTTGTCATTGCCCATGACTCACACCCATAGGTCAGGACTGGTACATAGGTAGAGCGGTAAACAGCCATTTTCGTCCTCTTGCCAATTTCTTTTTGCTAAGAAACCCTCGGTTTATGGCTGGGAAGAGTCTCCCAGCAGCTGCTTTTCGTGTAGCCAGCTCAGTCTTAATGCCTCCATTTTGGTCTAATACAACTCCAAGGTATTTGAACTGGTTAACCTGCTCCAACGCATACTGACCCATCATGATCTGGTGTTTCTTCTCCTCTCTTGAGATCACCATGGTTTTAGTTTTGGAGACACTGATGGTCATCCCTTTCTTTTCAAGCTCTTCCTTCCAGACAAGTAAGTTGTACTGAAGGTGTGCCTCTGATTTAGCTATCAGGGCCACATCGTCTGCAAAAGCCAGCTCTGATATACAGATTGGTCTCATCTTCCAGTACCCTACAGAGTACTTCTTTGTCTTCTCCTTACAGGTCTTGATGACATCATCCATCATAAGAATGAAGAGGTAAGGTGAGAGAATATCACCTTGTCTAACACCGCTGGTGGTCTTAAATTCTTCTGACTTTTGGTCTGCTGTTCTTACATAATTTCTGCACTTTTTGTAGAAACTCTGTATTGCACTGATCAGGGGTGCTGGGATGTTTTTCCCTGCCAAGCAGTCCCAGAGCTTGTTCCAGGGTACCTTGTCAAATGCCTTTTCCAGATCCAAAAAACATAAGTGAATCTCACTCTTATATTCCAGGGCTTTTTCACTCATCTGTCTCAGTGTGAAGATAAGGTCTTGAGTACTTCGGTTTGCTCTGAAGCCGCACTGGGCCTCGTCCAGCTGTGGCTCTACCAGACTTCTAAGTCTCTGCTCAAGAATTCTAGAGTAACTTTTTTTTTTTTTTTTTCTTTGAGCAGAGACTTAGAGAAATACCTATTTCTTTTTTTCTCCATTTGCCATTTAAATGGTGGCTGGCATTTTGTGTTTCAGTTTCTGCCACACACACATACGATTCCAGCAAACCCTTAGCTGGCTGCCTTTCATGACATGCTTGTTCAAATAGGGCTATTCAACCCACATGGGGAGAAGTAGTCTTCAGAGAAGCTTTTATATAAAAAAGACACCCATCAACAAAAATCCTGAACATGAACTAAGAGAATGGACCAGCTGATACTGACCAGCGGCAAGTCGTTTGATCAAGGGCACAAAGTAGTTCTCCAGATCACTCTGACTGTGCTGCTCTGCGATGATTCTCAATGATTCCACTGCTTTGTCTCTCACGACCGTCTCTTCGACTGTAGCCAGGCTCTCCAGTGGGGGCTGTAATCAAATATCACACAAACAGTGAGACACAGACCCAGTGGTTAAACCAAATCCCCAGGTGGGGAATTAGTAATTAATTCAAAAAAAAGCATTGTAAAAAAAAAAAAAAAAAAAAAAAAAGATACAATTCTGTATATCAAGAAATATGGCTGGGATCTATTTGTGCGTGGAACGTTGAGAATATCATGGACAGTTGAGAATATCATGGACAGTTGAGAATATCATGGACAGTTGAGAATATCATGGACAGTTGAGAATATCATGGGACAGTTGAGAATCCCAGTGTGGGTTCTAGGGCCTCAATTTGGGGAAAAAACAAGAATACACCTACTGACTTGCCAACAAGCATGATGTAAGAGTTGACTAGCTTGGGGTTTCTTCAAAGTCAGAGCATCTGCCTGATAGGCAAGGAACCAACAAAATGCATACAAATAAGTCAAATGTAAAATGGATGCGCAGGCAAAACCCAGGTTCAGGAACAAGACTAAAATCCTGAGGTGGATGAACAACCAGAAATTGCTGCCGGAGTTAATAGCCGGTGAACAGGAAGAAGGAAAAAAGACGACAGTTATGAAAATAAACAATCAGGTACAGAAAGCTGCAAGTAGTTACAAGATCGCTCAGCAAAACAAAAGATATACAATATAAGGCATGCTCAAATAAAACTATTCTAACGTGTTACAAAAATATGAAAGGTATAATAGCAATTGTGACAAAGTTAAACAAAGCAAACACTAGGAAGCAAACATGTATCTGGTAACAGACACTCAGATATGCTGGCGGAGATGAAAAAATCCTCCCCTCAAGCTGAAGGGCTAAAAATATGACTCATTTTTTCCTAAGATTTGGTTATTAAAGATATTCATTGCATGTTGTGTGTGTATGTGTCTGTGTCATGGTTCAAACCAGTAGCATCAGGATGCATTGCCAATATTTCAAGAGAAATTCTCGGTATGGACCCTGGGGCCACATTGTGGTTGGGGGAAGGGGTGTGGGAGAGAGAAAATAGACCCACTGCCTCCTAAAAAGGCACTTATTAGGATTTTGTTGAAATCAGATGTGTTCGTTTCAAGGCGCAAACATCAAAGCCTTGCAGTAAACTACAACACAACATGCCAGCTGCCCTTTTAAAGGCAGAAGAAGAACAGAAATACACCATCCTGCGATCTGTAACACAATACATGGTCAAAACTCCACAACATGCACTCTTTGTATCTACTATCTCCAGCTGTAGGTGGGATGCATCTCTGAATCCTTACAGCAACCTAATGCAAGTTTCCTAGAAGTTGCTATTTTTGACTCTGTCTGTTACTTGTGCTGATACATTTTAAATACAGTAGCAATAAAACAGTTGGAACAGGTTTATTTTAATCACGCCTTGTCTGTGAAAGGTTTAAATAGCTGGGTAATAAATAACAGTTTAAGAAATAACAAATTAGTAAAATATCAGACAGAATTTGAGAGTCACAGCTGCTGATGTTTGCTCAAGACTAGGCACACACACAAAAAAAGAAGAAGATTTTGATTCTGCCATACTTACATGTCTCCCTGGAGATTCTCCAAACATCTGCTAGACTGACACATTTCTAGACAAAGTTTCCCAGGTGACAACGCCCTGAACTAATATTCAATTTTGAGTAATTTTTAAAAAAATTCCAAATCGTTTAGATTTTATCCTATGTCTGACATGAGATTATGGCAACTGTATTGTTTTATACAAATACAACTGCCTGACTTTTGTTTTCAAATGTTGGTTCTAATGTTAGAAGATAATAAAGATTAAATGGGAGTTTGAGCTGCATGACCTTTTTTCTAAAGGAGCATCTACTTGATCATGCATCTTAAAACACTTGTTCCTGCAACGAAGTGCAGTCACCATGTGGTATTGACAGGGTCCAATTGCCAGCAACTTTCGATTTTCATGTTGTTTAATGCATCCTTCTATCTTTCTACTACTTTTTTACAATCGCTTTTGACTTATGTTGCCTAGTGTGTCCTTCTATTTCTTTCAATGGGTGCCAATCCCTACATTTTTATCTGTTTATTATATAAGATAAAATGCTTGCTATGATTATGGATCACTGCCACATATACGAGGAGCTGCTGGCCGAACAGTTAGAATGCTGGGCTCTCAAGAGACCCAGGTTCAAATCCTCAGTAAGGCTGTGGATTTTTTCTGCCAGAGGCAAAATAAAAGCCTCACCTGCACACTCGTGGCAACAGCAGTAGTAGCCATGCCGTCATAAATCCTCAGGCTCAAAGACCCCCCCCCCCCCCCCCCCGTCTACACAGCAAAAGTGGTATAATAAAACCTGTAATTGGCAGTTTGCAATTTACATGGACAACTTAATAAGTGTTTTAGTCACCGTCCACCGATCACACAAAGAAAACCATATCACAGTGCACCAACTCCACAAGAATTCAGATATGTATCCACACGAGAATTACACACAGTATAAACATCTTTTTTGTCTGTAATTTTCAAACTGTGTTTGGAAGACAGTAACCTTTTCAACCCTGGCACTTTCAAATTTCAACTGCACAGCAACTCATTGTATATACTTTCACAGTTTCTAGATGGTATCTATTATCTTTAGCTTCAGGTTTCAATTGTATTCTGTCTCAGGCTTTCTCACTTTTTAAAATTTCAATCCATAACTAAGTCTTAATTTTTTAAACTGTATTCCATATCTTACATAAAGCTTTCCTTTTTATATAAATTGTATGTCATCTCATTTAATCTTAGTTTTGAATTTTACTCCATGTCTAAGAATTTCAGTATTTAGATTTTACTTCCAACCCCAAACAATTCAATGTTTCATCACATGCCACTCAAAATCATGTTTTGACAACTGTATATATATATATATATATATATATATATATATATATATATATATATGTGTGTGTGTGTGTGAGTTCTGAGGCCCAATTGTGGGAGAAACAAGAATAGACCCACCACCTCCCAAACAAGCATGCTCTAGGAGTCGACAAATTGGGGGCTTCATTTGAAGTCTAAGTGCATCTGCTTGAGAGGTGAGGAACCAAAAGTCTGCATATAAATAAGCCAGATCTGTATAATGGATGTGCACACAACAAATAAGTTTTGGAACAGTGTCTGAAGCACAGAGTTGGGCAAACAACCAAAACTTTCACCCGAGTTTACAGCCAGTGAATGCGAAGAAATGTATTCAGAAGGAGCCGCCATAGTGTAGCGGTTAGACACTCGCCTGTGGATTGGAAGGTCGTAAGTTCAGGTCCTGACAGAGCCGGACTTTATTTTCTTTGAAAATAACCTTGGCTGCCAAGTTGACCCCACCTTAAATGGGTACCAGGTATAGTCCTGGGAAGTAAAAGTGGGGGCGTGATGTAGACCATATCATTCAATGAGTGCTGGTTGGTCTATAAAATATAGGCCTAGCCCTACAGGCTTTAAACACCTGAAGGCATGGGAAAGGGTCATTTACTTGCTAACTTCATATAAATTTTACGTTTCTGATAACCCTATAACTAAACCCTTTATTAAGCATGATTCTAAATTACTGTGAATATTCTTCCTCAAAATAAAGTCCAACTTCCAACATGAGATTTTTATTCTAAATAAATCTGAATCTTCTCAGGTGCATTACAACAATATATAATAGAGTAGAAAAATATTTAACCTTTTCAACCAAAATATACAAATCACAATGCCTGTAATTACACTGTATACTTATTGTACTGTTTGTGTGCAAATTAGTTTATTACGACAGGAAAACATTGTCTTTACATAAATAACTCCTCCATGAGTTAGAAAAACTTCTTTCTGTTAAGCTTAAAAGGACGCCAAAACAGCTTCCAGGTGGAACAAAGAATATGTCCAATCAAACTGCAGAACAACTTTGGCATGACAAGGAAGCCGGGGAATATGCAGCGGCCCCAGTCAATGAGAGTCATGTCCTCATCACTGTCATCCATGCAGCCCAGCATGTCTTCTTCTAAAATCTGGTGTTGTTTCTCACTCATGTTTTTGTCTCAAGTTTAAAATATAAGTAAAATAAAACTCAAAACCATTATTTATCTATTACAGCCCTATCATCTGATAGACTGAGACGCCTAGCGGCACAAGCAGATTTTGACAAAAGAAGAAGAAGACAGCCCTGGAATGCAGAAGATTTAACATGATGAAAAAAAAAACAGGACTAAGACTGAAATAATGCAGGTCAGTAGAATTCCTAGTCTGCTATATATCAGATTGAATGGTACTTGTCTGAAGCAAGCTGAAGAATTTAAATATCTAGGCAGCACATTTACATCTGACAATCCATAACTGACAGAGGACTGGAATGGAACAAAGCCAGAAAGAAAACTGTTGAGAGAGAAGTGTGGCGATCTCTCTGGCAAACCTCTATACCCCAAGACAGAAGAGGAGCGACTAATTAAAGTAAGTAAGGCAGTACATTTTCGGACGACGGGAGAATAGATCGGAAACAGAAACAAGAAGCCAAAGAACCAGTGCACTTATATACTAAATTAACTCATTTGAACATAAGTATGAGTGCCAAGAAACAGACTATAAACAGCTTATTCATACCTACACTGGGCTACCAGCACTAGATTTGGACATTAACAAAGGCTACCTAGGTAAAATTACCATCTGTGAAATAAGATGCATGAGAAAGGCTGCTAACTTAACCATCACAGACAAAGTTACAAACTATATTGTTAGACAGACTGTGTCAACAACACCATGCAGCAAATTCACTGAGAAACAAGATCAAATTGTTTGGCCATCTAGTAAGAATAAAGCCAGAACAATTACCAATGCAGGCACTACACCTGAAAAGATCTGATGTGACAGCAAGAGACTGCCCTATGAGAAAATGGATTGATGAAATTAAAGTGCTTCTACATTGACACAGAATGACAATAGCCACTGCTGCCCATCAAGCAATGGACTGCACACTACAGAAGTGAAATTTGATGACAATGATGACAGAACTAAAGAAAAAAAAAACCTGATTCATTCTAAACAGCCACAGAGATGTGGTTTCTACACAGAAAATACATGCGGAAGTCAATGAGTAAGCCAAAGGGTTGTTTTAAAAAAAACCTGAAGAATATAACAACTTGAAAAACAGTTGATTTTTACACATAAACTGTCCATTTATTTTTCAATGTAAGTTCCACCAACACTGATGTACCACATTTTTACTTCATATTCAGCTTCTGTACCACTAATGAAATCCCCCCCCCTCCCCCAAGTTGAGTTTTCAGTGAACCAAAAGGTAGAAATTGCTAGGGGCTAAGTCAGGGCTGTAAGGTGAATGTTCCAGAAGTTCCCATCCTAGATGGTTAATTTCCATGTGTAGTTTGGCATTGCCATGAAGCAGCAGTATTCCTCTAGTCAGCAGGCCTGGATGTTTTCTTCGAACTACATCATGAAGCATCAATAGAACTTTGCAGGATAAACATTTGTCAGCATAAACAGGAAGCATTTCCTTACGAATGTCATTTGCAGACAGCCCTTTTGCCCTCTCCCCCTAAAAATACACAACAACAGGTTATTCTTTGAAGGTTAATTCTGTAAGTACAGTCACTATTTTGTTTCTATATTGCGAATGTGCATGAAACGCCTAGCGCCACCAAATGAATGGAGACATAAAGATGGATGTTGCAGTCACCCAATGACACCTTTAGAAACCACCAACTACATTTTCCTGCCCTCCCACAACCATTATCACTTACTTATTAATTTCCCCTTGTACATAAAAACTCACAAACAGATGGTGAGATAATGAACACCCAACTGCTGAAAGAGATTAGTTCACATGTGATAACCAACAGGACAAGACAGTCATCGTTTTTTGCTCAAGTTATGAGACAACAATGACATGGTGAGGTTGTGACAATCATGAAAGTCAAGGGTGTTAGAAACAGAGCGAGATAATGATGGGAAATGCTCAGCATGAGACTTATCAACACAATAGCCGTTTGCAAGGGAACACTATCATCTGTGCCATTCTGCATGGTGATAACTGTGGTTGTGACAGGAATTAGTGGATGGATGTATGACAGATTAAAAAAAATTCTGTATCAGGTTTTAAAAAAAAATCAAGGGCATTTGCTAATGTGGACACTTCAATTCAGAGTTGAGTTAGAATTTCTCCCTTAACCTCAAAGAGATACGACTCTTTGCCTTAACAGGAAATAGAGTCCTGAAGCACTAGAATACAATGAAAAAACTGCAAATTCAGGACAACACACCTTTTGTTATTCTTTCTTCCTCATTCATGAAGCCATACTATATTAACATTAAGCTAACTACCTATCCACTTTAATTAATTAATCTATTGATCTGTACATTTTCCAATTGAAATCCAATAACAGTTGGAAGTTACAATGTAGGCATTAAGGCTACCACCCAGGCAAAAACCCATCCAGTGGTAGGAAGAGATCAAACAGCCATTAGATCAATAGGAAAGGTTGTATCTGAATGACGAAAGTAAATATATGAATAAGGAGCACATACTTCAGATAAAACAAGCAGAACAAGCAATATTATCTCATAGACTAAAACAAAATAAGGACTGTCTGCAAGATACAATGAAGTAAACAAGACTATTGGGTGCCTAGGAAGAAATGTCCTCAGTAAACAGTCCAGAAATTTTCTTCAGAATTCATAGAGAAACATTCACCAAGCTTAAATATTCTACAAAACACAAGATAATAGTACAAAAACTAAAAATAATTTTCCTTTGAAACAACTAAATAACAAAGCTATGTTTCCCCGTTGTAAATTTGAAAAAAGAAGACACAAGCAATAGATTGCACAATTTATTGCCTGGCATATTTCACTGTATCTCGTCAGGTGCATACTACTGTGTCTTCTTTGTTCAAACTAAATAACATTTAGTAATACAAAACACACAGCAAATACACTTCAATTTGCTAGTTTGCACGAGAAAAATATGTTATATACTTCTCTATCTGGAAGTTAAAACCTGGTTCAATGGTAATTCATGTAATTACCTGGCAGTCCACGCCCACTAATCTTATTTAACAAAGCTCATTAACTCCCGGAAGACAATTTCCCCCATACTGGTATTGTGGCTAGGCTGACTGACTTTTCCGAACTGATCCCATAATTGCTGCAGGCGCTGCTCTGTAATGTTAATCCTCTGTGACATGCCACATGCAATCCATGTTTGGGATGTGGTAAACCATAGCATAATTTGAAGTTGGGACCAGCTCTATAACAATACCCCAATTCACAAATACTTGTTTTAGGAGCTAAGTCGAGTCAAGAACTGATATCCCAGCACTCGGTGCATCCCCATGTGTGCTCTGTCCTCATCTTCAGCAGGCAGCGCAGAGTTCCAATACCGATGGTACTGGTCACAATCTGGTTATATGTCCGTCTTGCCTTTCCTCTGAGTGTAGTGAGCCGGCCAGACCCTCTGGTTACACCTAGGTGCCTGATTCTCTCCATGCCATAATAATCTTGTTTCTTCTCTACTGACTGTTTTAGGAATTCATGTCAAATGATGTATGTATGTATGTATGTATGTATGTATGTATGTATGTATGTATGTATGTATGTATGTATGTATGTATGTATGTATGTATGTATGTATGTATGTATGTATGAGAAGGTAACTCAGCCAACAAATACCTGCAGAAACAGGACGTGTCAGCCAAAATATGCAAATACTGCAGCCATGTTGTAAACAGGCATAACATATTTACGTCTTTGGATAAACACAGAAAAAGAAATTTTATATTTCAGCTAAAAAAAATCCAACTAATCATTAACAAGTCTATAAATGGCACTAGAAAAGATAAAGAGAAATGAGACTGTTCCGTTTGGTATATACTTAACATATAATAATGACTTCTAAACAGTGTAACCGTACACGTACTTACCAACAGACAATGAACATATTCTGGGCCCCCGACTAGGGGAGTGAAGCTGCCCAGTTGTTCCGCAAGGGCTAACAATACCTCGTCTTCATCGTAAATTGTGTCTGAGAAAGGACATGCATGTTCGTCAATTAAAAAAAGTCACATCAGTGCCCAAAGATTATGACATTTCCGAACAAGCCACACATCTGTTCTCAATACATGTATTTCCCTGTGTGGCTTCTGGGGCCCTATTGTGGGGTCACAAGAACAGACATACTGCCAACCCAAAAGCATGCCGCTAGAGTCGACTAACTGGTAACTTCCTTCAAAATTGGAGTGCATGTGCCCGAGAGGTAAGAAAATAGCAGTCTGCATACAAATCAGTTAAATCTGTAAAACAGATGTGTATGTAACGCTTAGGTTCTGGAACAGGACTAGAGTCCGGAATTGGAGGAACAACTAGAACCTTCTGCTGTAGTTTACAGAAGAAAACAGAATAGATTAACTGAATATATCAACCTATTCATTACTCACACAACACTATAGGGTACACCATTCAGTGTAGTCATCACAGTCAACCCAATTATAACTTCCTCTGAGGTTGAATGGAAGTATCTGCATTTTGTCCTGTTGGAATACCATCCAGGATGAGACTCCTAAAATCAGAGGGGTGTTCAAATCCTCTGGTAGCAGCCCAGAGGGAAAACAGGCCGACCAAGAAACTGTGACTCTGCTTGTGGCACTGTAATATGACTGCAATGATCTCTCTCTCAATCTCACAGTAACAGCAGCTTTCTAATGACTGGAGTGTAGTAGTCTCATATGTTTTAACTGTAATGGGTACACAGTGTATTTTGATTTAAAAAAAAAACTGGTGTCAAACACAGTGAGTGGCTCACATTGCATAAAAAGACGCAGGCTAGGAGCATTCCATGGATTTTCCGCTAAGGATGTTTTAGTAGGAGTAATGAGCAGGATGATAGACTGGCTGTGGCCGTTCCTTTGGAAGGTGAGCTACTTTATGAAGTGGACACAGTGAAAGCTCTCTACGATTAAATGAACAGTGCAATGGAATAGACAGAGTATCCATTCCTCCATAGACTAATTCGGTGTGATGCTGACCACATCATCCATCTTTTGCTGATTGGTCTATAAATTATAGGTCTAGCCCTATATGCCTAAAGGCATGGAAAAGGATTCTTTACTTTTTACAGACTCATTTAGAATAGAGTATGCACAGTTTTCAGCACGCAGGGAAAGAGGTAGGTGGACTTTAAACAGGTTTGTCCCTGGTACTATCAGTATGGGAATTCTTCATTCTCTTCTGAGGAAGGAGACATAGCACATTTGGGAATACCCTGAGTTCAGTGATGTCAATGCTTCCTATTTTTTTCATTCTTTCTCACATCTTAGTTGTTACCTGAGGTTCCAGCATCGTTGCAGAAGGGTCACCCCATAATTGCTTTGTTCTCATGCCAGTGGATATCGCCTAAAATGTCCTTCAGTGTCCCATTTGCAAACCTAGTGAAAAACTTTTCAGTCCCAGCAAAATCTTGAAACTTGCACAGGCAAAGTAAAAATACGTAAGGCTCTCACATGTATACTGTAACCCAACAAAAAGCTACTCACCAGTCAAAAATGGTATTAGTTCTGTACGAGTCCTCTCTACTCCTAGTGCCAGGGCAATGGTGCCAAGTTTCTTGATGCTGTTCAGGCGTAACTACAAACAGAAATAAGTAAGATCTTCACTGTAACATTATTTCATCATCAAATGGTTGCTGGCAGGCATGGGCATTCATCCTTCTTCTTCTGCATGCGCCCATAAAGGGACAGTTAGTACACTGTGTTGTGGTTTACAGCTAGGATATAATATCTGGACCTTTTGGCACAACATACCCAAGTTCACAAAATCCATACTTTGTCGCCTTTAACATCTTTTAAAGGAGCAGTGGGATGATCCCTCCACCACCACCCAAAGGCCCCCAGAACCCACATGTGGAACGAGAATGACATCAACTGCATATATAAATTTTATGCCGACACCTAGCTGAAGTACAAACAGCTGTCAGCAATATTTTTTCTGATACATGTCCAACCCTATCCTCAGATTAAACTGTACGTTACTTTGCAATCATATGGGTGCCCTAACATAACTGTGTTATACAGCTAAACAGGGTTTCTAGGGACTACTACTATTATCATCCCTGAGGTTTCAATCCTACAGACAGGGATCTTGCAGGGGGAACAATGACCCCTATCACCTTCTTTATGAATTCTTCCATAGTTTTTTTTTTTTAAATCAATGTTTCCATTTGTCACAACATGACCCAGGGTTTAATCTCTCCACTTGGACAAAAATTTGACAACTGGTTTTTTCCTGTTAAACTGGCTTTGTCCCCCTAGCCTCTTCCAAAATATTTCTTCTTCTCTTCTTCTTCTGCCCTTTATCTCCAAAGCAGCTCACCCCATGTCTCCCCATCTTTCTAACTTTGTTGTGTAGTTCCTTTCTCCATGTATCCCTCAGTGTGCACTTATTTCTATGCCTCGCTGGGGTTACACTACAGTATAAAGCATCACAAGTAATATTGTTCTTAGGTTTTCTCAATCTGTGTCCTACCCAATGCCAGTGCTTTTTTTCACCTCCTGAATCACTAAAATGTGTTTACTTCTCTTTCACAGCTCTACATCTGTGATTCTATCATACCATTTTATTTCCTGTTCTGGGCATGCACCAGTTAATGAATGTTTGTAGTTTATTAGTAACTGTTTAGTTCTCCATGTTTCAGCTCCACATAGAAATACTGATCTGACATTAGGGCTCAAACATTTAAAGTTTGGCAGTAGTTATAATCTTCTTTGACCGCCGCAAATTTCCTAGTGCTACGAAAACTTTTTTCATCTTCTGTATTTGCAATTTTAATTTCTCTATCAGTTTCGCCAACCTTATCTACTTTACTGCCCAAATTGGTGGATGACTCCACATCTTGGAGCGGGACGTCACAAAGAGAAATTAGATTATTGTTTGCCTGGTCTATTCTAATTATCTTTCGTATACGGATTTGTTAATCTAATTGTTTTGATTTCACATCAAATATGTTTAATGTATCTTGCATTTGATTTTGTGTGTGGGATTTAAAAATTTTTAATAATTAACTTCTGATGTCCAACAAATTTTCAGGATTCTTGTGTGAAACCATAGCAACAGGATATGACAATCCACAATGAAATGACCACCTAAAAAAAATTGCTGAGATCTTTGTGCAGAACCAACAAATACACAGTGCATGTATGAATTTCTATCTGTCCTTTCTTTGCAGGAGCAAATATTGTTTAGATGTTTTTATGACTTGCAGAACCTTTTTTAGGATTGTTTGTTTGTTTTAGTATCCAGAAGCCATGAGTTGTTAACCCTTAGGCTCGGTATTATGGATATCGCAACCTTTCGGCCTTGATTCCATTTTAAATACCGTAAATCTGGGAGAAATGTGGCTTTTCTGCCCACCCCTGGGGGTGAACCTGGACCACAAGGAGTTCGTCACCCGCTCACCGCACAATCCGGGTTAGCCAACTACGCTAGAGAGACGGGCTTTTTCAGGATAAATTCCTATGATGGAGTCCAAAAGGTCGACTGAACCTATGACTTGCAAGTTAATATTTTTTAACAGTGACGTTAAAGAATGGAGGAGAATAGGATAGATAGTCTGGGAATGTAAAGTAAATTGGTAAATAAATTATATTTCAAAAACTTAAATTTATCATAACAGTCAATTTATTTTCAACTACTACTAATACACATGATATTGCCAAAATGTAGCCAGATATAAAAGTTCTTCCTTAGCTTAAAAAATCAAACCATCTGCTTGAAAATAAATTTTACTAGGCTGTGTGCCTTTATTTTATATTTTCTTATTATTTTCTTATCAAAATCCCGCTTCACAGAGATATGCAGTGGACAATATGCAGTCTATCCGTCCTGCTCTTGTACTACAATAATTTTGGAGCTAGTAGAAGCAGAAAGACCAAGTTTCACTGAGTAATTCAACCTGACAGATTTCCATTTATAATTAAAAATCTAGTCCCTAGTTTTCTTATTCTAATTCTACTTTTCATTTCTTTATCTTCAATTTCACTTGATTTTACTCATTTTCCTGGAGGGACCACGAAGTCCGCGGGATTACACTGAGTCCTTAGAGGAGAAAAATCATGAGTTTCTGCCCCAAAAAAATGCAGGCTAACTAGGAACTCGGATTAATACACCCCTGCTGGGATCAACATTCGTCCATGTTAATCAAGGGTTCTGCTGAAGAGTTTGTGATAATAAGGTTTTCATAATTATTGTTATCAACCTGGTTGTTGTTGCCACTCAAGTGGTTTAGACACTTTTTTTTCTTTGCATGGGAATCTGTCAGACAAGATTTCAACTACATATACTGTATTTACTTACAAAATATTTTCTGAAATTTATCTTGCATAAATATTCACAGCTTGCAAATGCTCTGTGTTTTTATGCCTGAATATCAATAAATATAAACATACAGCATGTTTACTCATCGACCATGTGTGTATTGGGTTCAGTAAAAGCAGTTTTTTTTCAATGCAGTACCTGCGCTTGCAGGTGGATTCCGGTTTGTGTCGAGATGGCGGGACGTGTTTCTCTCTAGCTCGACGCATATCGGTTGATCGACGGTCCGACATGCTGTCATCGCAAACCACCAACTGTTGTAGAATCAGATTTCTGGCTCTGAATTTTAACAGCGCGTTTTCAGACCAAACATTTCAAACTAACTATTATACAGTGCTACGCACCTACGAACAACGACAGCAACAAAGATAATTTCTACGACCTCCTGGTTGGTGTCATAAACAAAACTCCTACGCACGACCTCCTTGTTGTAATGGGTGATTTTAATGCCAAGTTAGGGTCTGACAACAAAGGTGTTCAAAAAAATATGGGAGTACACAGCCCAGGAGATATGAATCAAAACAGAGAGAGGCTAATTGAACTCTGTGAAATAGCAAATCTAACAGTAGCAAGCTCCTTATTTGCACACACAAAGACATACATAAATAACCTGGAATTCGCCAGATAACATAACAAAAAACCAGATAGATCATTTTTGCATCAGCGCCAAATTCCGTACATCAGTGCAAGACGTTAGAGCCTACAGGGGAGCTGATATTGGCAGTGATCATAATCTTTGTATTGCCAAACTAAAAATTAAACTCAAGTCTCTACTTAAACCACTCAGAAATAAGAAAATAAACTTACAAGCCCCTTTGTCAAAAGATCATCAAAGCGCATTTAATGCAGAGATACTCACCACCTATATAACCAAAACTAGCAATGCGGATACTACAAATAACAGACAAAAATTTGGACTTTTTCAAGAACACACTGACGACCGCTGCAGTAAACACAGTTGGTTATGTACAAAAGCAGAAAAAGAAGTGGCTAAGCGACAACACTTGGTCAAAAATCCAAGAAAGGAAACAAGCAAAATTAACACTTTTATCCAAAAAAGTCACTTCTTCATACGAAAAATACAGCACGCTAGACAAAGAAGTGAAATCAAATGCAAGGAAAGACAAACAGAACTTCATACACGACCTCGCCTCCGATGCTGAAATAGCTGCCAAGATTGGAAACAACAAAGCCGTATTCCATATTATGAAACAACTGTGCAATCACTCACCTACACTAAATACACCCATTAAAGACAAGCAGGGTAAACTACTGCTATTCGACGACCAACAAACAAAGCGATGGGCAGAACGTTTCAAGGAAATATTAAATAGACCAAATTCTGACATCATTCCTAATCTAGAAGAAGAAATTATTACACCAACACTAGTTGCCTCCAGCGAGTCATTCACAATAGAGGAGATTAAAACAGCTATTAAAAAATTAAGAATAAACAAAGCTACCGGAGAGGATGACATCTCAGGGGAAATGCTCAAAGCAGAGGATGAAAACACCCTGCAACATTTGCTTCAGCTGATGGATGAAGTCTGGCAAAACGAATACCCACCACAACAATGGAAAGATGGTGTAATCTTCAAATTACCTAAAAAAGGCGATTTATCTGATTGTAACAACTGGAGAGGCATCACCCTGCTTTCGATACCAGGGAAACTATTTTGTAGTATGCTACTAGAAAGATTGAAAAAATCCATAGATGAAAGATTAAGGGAAGAAAAAGTCGGTTTTAGATCCAAGCGGTCATGCATAGACCACATCTTTACTCTTAGAATAATTGTTGAAGATTCTACAGAATTCCAGTCGAAATTATTGATCAACTTTGTCGACTCCCAAAAAGCCTTCGACAGTATCCATCGTCCAACACTCTGGAAATTGCTTAACATCTATGGTTTCCCCATCAAATATATCAACATCATAAAATCTTTTTATAATGAAATACGATGCTGTGTAAGAACTGAATCCGGCAATTCTGACTGGTTCCCGGTGGAAACAGGAGTGAAGCAAGGCTGTGTCCTATCGCCGATGCTTTTTGGCATAGCAATCGACTGGGTCATGCGCAAGTGCATAAATAATGCAAATTTAGGCATTACATGGGTTGACAAAATTCTGGAAGACCTAGACTTCGCCGACGACATAGCACTCCTGAGTTCAGAACACACAGACGCCCAAGAAAAAATCAATCGACTCCAGAATTTCTCAGAACAAAAAATGACTCCAAATTAACACTGCAAAAACAAAAATTCTAGACCTTACTAACAGTTCAGTTGATATCACGCTGAACAACAACAGCCTTGAAAAAGTCAAGTTTCACTTATCTAGGGAGCAAGATGTCATCTACAGGAGATACCGCACCAGAAATACCATTTAGAATAGCACTGGCATCTAGTGCCTTCAATAAACTGTCCAACATCTGGAAATCAAAGACACTTAGCAAACACACAAAACTCAAGATCTTCAATTCTTGGGTGATTCCAGTACTAACCTATGGATGCGAGAGCTGGAAATCAACGAAAACTCTAGACACAAAATTAGACAATTTTGAAAATAAATGCCTTAGAAGAATGCTAAATTTCAAATAGTCAGATTTCCGAACCAATACACAAATAAGGCAAGAATCCAGGCAAGAGTATGTGTCTAATTTTATACGAAAAAGCCGCTGGAACTATGTCGGCCACGCCCTTAGAATGGATAAATCAAGACTTCCTTACCAAGCACTCATTTGGACACCACAGGGAAAAAGATCTCGTGGAAGACCAAGGGAAACTCTAAGTAGAACTATCATCAGGGAAGGCTCGCTCATAGGCCACTCAAACATCCAAGACCTACAACAGATTGCAACGAACCGCCATGCATGGAGAGTCATGACCTCTGCCCTATGTGCCGCACTCGACACAAGAGGAAAGATTAACTAACTAACTAACCTGCGCCTTTTATGTAAACACCCTGCCTTGAGTACCGGGAGTCGCTGTGGCGAAGCGGCTAGACACTGGCCGCGGATCAGAAGATTGTGGGTGCATTCCCTGGCGGAGCCAGACTTTTAAAAAATGACCTAGGCTCCCAAGTCAACCCAACCTTGAGTGGGTACCGGGTGCAGTCCCAAAAAGTAGGGGCGGCCGGCGTGATGCTAACCACATCACCATTATTTGCCGACTGGTCTATAAAATGTAGGTCTAGCCCTATACGCCTAAAGGCTTGGAAAAGGATCCTTTACTTTACTTTTGTACTTGAGCACCAGAATTTTTTTTTCTAGGCAAAAATGGCTTGCTTTTCTCAACATCCTGTGACCCACCCACCAAGTTATTACATTACATCATTCTACTCAAAAGTTGTCCTAATTCCCTTCTTTTCCATACCGTCAGTTGTGTTGTTTCATAACCATTATTTGTATTTTACCTTATCAGACACAGACATATCGTACAATCATTTTAATTGAAGTTACAACTACAACTTTTTAGAACAGAAAAGCTAAACCGGAAGTTTGTAATTTACATGTGACAGAGGCCCTGTTAGGGAATATTTTTGGCCTCGATAAATTGGGACGTTATTCAGAAGATAGCCTAATATTATAATATTAATTAATACTAAAAGAGTCAATATTAATTTGACTATCCTCTGAATAACGGGCATATATTATGGCGGTCAAAAATATACCCTGACAGGGCCTCAGTCACATGTACAAAGCGAACTTGCGCCACAGCCGAGAATATTTCCCATGCCGCTACGCGCGGCGTAGAGTGGGGCTAAACTAGGTGGCGGGGACTCACGAGCAAATAGCTGCATATTCTCGGTGGTGGCGGTAGTTGCCGGAAGTCCGCAATTGAAGTCGCTGGAAGTCCGCATTTTACATGTGATTGAACAGTATTTAGTAGTAGTACAGATGATATTCTACTATTTCTATTTCTCACTTACTACGACCGTAGTTTGTGTTGTAGTGTGCTAACTGTATGTATGTACTATGTAAATGATATGTACTAAGTTCCAAAAAATAATTAATTTTACTATTTTACGTGACAGTATGCAGATTCTGAGTATAAGCAAACAAACATTTACGTGTAACTGTATGCAAAGACCTGACTCAGATATTAAATTTAATTCTGCCTCAACTGCGATTTGATTCCTTCCTTCCCTGTTGTTCGCAAAACACTTCAAAACAATATGAGGAATCGGCAACTCGTTAGTGAATAAAATGATAACTAAGCTAGTTTAGGCAAATGATGAATGGTTCTAGTGATTCAAAAAAGATCAGTTATCCTAACTAAAGCTACTAATCTCACCTGTACATCCTCGTTTCTGAGTTCGTCGATGAGAACGGCGATAGGATAGAGAGAGTCGTCGGCATCACTCGTCGCCATGTTGAATTTTTAGAACTTGTTTCTGTGACGTCAGTAGTCTGTGGGCACAAGTAAATGCTGAACTGGAACTTTACGAAGAATAAATTGTGTTTAAAATAAACAGGCGAAGGAAAGTTACAGAAGATGGAAGACTCAGCCGAGAGCTAGAAGCTAGAGTTCAGAGGTCAAATATTGTTGCCTATCAGCTTGTCCCAACTGCTCAGACACCCAAATGTATTCCTTCCAGCAAAACAGATGAATAATAGCATTTGTATTCCCACTTTGTGCTATCAATGCCAACTATGAGTACATGTCAGCAACAGAATATAACTAAAAATGTGCTGTCTCCGAAATGTCACCTACATGAGAGAGGATAGCAAATAACGATTACTAACGTGCAAGATCCCGACTATGTCTACATGCCATTACATTTAAAAGTAGTCCCTGTGTGTGTTCTAGGACCCCATTGCGGCGGGGGGGGGGGGGGGGTGTAGGCTCACTGCCAAAAAACGTGTCGTTAAAGTCGACTAATTGGAACTTCCTTCGAAGTCAGAATGCATCTGCCCGAAAGACAAGGAACCACCAGTCTGCCTACTCGTGAGTCAGATCTGTAAAACGGACGTGCAAGCAATATGCAGGTTCTGGAACAAGACTAGCGTACATAATTGGACGAACAACAGATACTTTTAGCCGGTGAACGTGAAGAAAAAGATTTAACAGTTGAGAATGAATTGTTTTTTGCTTATAATAAGAGTGTCGCCAGGCCAAAATGTGTATGAAACTGTCATCTTTCAAGACTAACATCTGAGCGGAAGGCGAGAGAAATACTAGTGTGAGACTCAATTTCCACAAAACAAGATACAAAAGCACACAGTACTAAACTACAACCCGATATTATTGCCACGACAAAATAAGAGAGGAAAAAGAAAGGAAAATTGTATAGCTCCTCAGTGTACAACAATGGAAAATAATATTAATGTGTGAAGTAATAAAAAAAAAAATCATTCTCTCTAAATCTTTCGCTAAATCCACTGCCTCGCACACAGTCATTCACAATTTGTGGTATGATTTTTTTTTAAAGAGGGTAAACAGTTTTCTTTGTGGGTTAGTTTATTTTAACAACGTCGAACTCTTTCTGCGAAGATTACTAGTTCTCATACCCGTGTGGGTTGCGGGGTCCCATTATGGGGGATAGAAATAGACCCGATGCACCCAAACAAACATTTCTTTGGAGGCGATAAATTAAGTTTCTACGAAGTCAGTCTGAGAGAAAAGGAACGAACAGTCTGCATTCAAACAAGCCACATCTGTAAAATTAATATGCACCCACAACTTAAGTTCTGGGACAAGACAACAGTCTAGAAGAAGACGAACAACCACAGCTTTCTGCCGGAGCTTACAGCATGTGAACGAGAAGAAGAAAAGAAACGAAAAGAAAAGACGAAAAAAAAAAAAAAAAAAAACCCTGTTTCTGAGGTTGTCCGTTATTCAGGAACGTAAACTGCCAGTATAAGTGATATGTATCTAAAAAAAATGTCTGTGATGATGCAATAGCCCATGATTCACATCCAAGTATACGTTGGTATATGTTAGGGGACTATGAACAGACAAGTGACTATGAGTTCAACTGAGTTGAGTCAAGAATCGACATCACAGCTCTTGGGGCATTTACATGCGTGCTCTGTCCTCATCTTCGGCAGCCAGTTCAGAGGTTCAGTACTGATGGTCCCGGTCACAATATGGTTATATGTCCCTTTTGCCTTTCCTTTAAGTGTAGTGAACCGGCCAGACCCTTTGGTAAAGTGACCACAAATCATACCCGTATCTCCCCGTGTGGGTTCCGGGGCCCTATTATAGGGAAAACAAGAATAGACCCACTGCCTACCCAAAAGCATGTCGTAAGAGTCGACTAATTGTGAGCTTCCTTCAAAGCCGGAGTGCATCTGCCTGAGAGGCAAGGAACCTGCAGTCTGCATACAAATGAGTCAGATCTGTGAAACTGATGCACACGCAACACTCAGGTTCTGGAACAGGACTGCAGTCCATAAGGGGATGGACAACTAAAACTTTCCGCCAGAGTTTACAGCTGGTGAACGCGAAGAAGAAGAAGAAGAAGAAGAAGAAGAAGAAGAAGAAGAAGAAGAAGAAGAAGAAGAAGAAGAAGAAGAAGACTCCCGTACACTGCGAGGGTCGCTGACGTATGCCTAATAATATTATTAATCACCATCATCATCCTATCATACCGTTGTACGTCACATTAGGCTCGCTGCCTAATCTTTCACTCTGTTTTATCCCGTGCAATCCTTCCGACACAATGGATGGAATCTATCCCAGCACCCTTGACCTCTTTCAACAACGTTCCTGTTAGGGTTTCTCTTTGGCGCCCTTCTTTCCTGGTCCCTAAAAAAAAATCCAGTCGTAAATGGTTTTCCTAACATGTGTTGGGTCAAAAGGCACATATTTCGCAGCCTACGTAAGCCACGACACAACGTACCAATCAACATTTTAAAGCCAAAGGCAGCAGAAGCCGCAACAGCATTAGAGGAAGAAGAAAGTAACGGAATCAGTAGAGAAACAAGATTATTACGGCCTGGAGATAATGAGGCACTTGGGTGTAACCAGAGGGTTTGGTAGACTCGCTAAACTTAGAGGAAAGGCGAGACGGACCTATAACCAGACTGTGACCTGTACCATCAGTATAATAATGCGCTGGTTGCTGAAGATGAGGACGGAGCACGCATGGGAATGCCCCGAGTGCTGTGATGTCAATTCTTGACCTAACTAACAAACTAACTTACTATAGGAAGAAGAAAAGGAAAAGAAGAAGAAAGAGAAAAAAAGGGGGAGGGGTGAGGAGGAGTGGTAGTAGTAGTAGAAGTCGTAGTAGTAGTAGTAGCAGTAGTAGTAGTAGTAGTAGTAGTAGTAGTAGTAGTAGTAGTAGTAACAGCAGCAGCAAGAGCAACAGCAGTAGTAGTAGGTGCTTTGTTTCAAAATCATACAATTTAGAGATAATTAAAAATGTTGAGCGGGAGAAAATTTCCAATGTGAAGAACAGTGTCAAAAAAAAAAACTTCCGGTGTTTTCAACAGTTGTCAGTGACGTCTGCGAGTTGATATCACAGATTTAGCCGTGAATCTTGCTCAGACTTATTTTGTGAATTATTGAATAGCGTTCTGCTGGGAACGAAGACAGTTATGGCTTACAATTCTTTGAATTCAACAGTTCACATTGAAAAAGATTTAGAGAACATGAAATTGAAAGCTCAGAAGAAAAGAGAGAAACCCGAATCTGTGTTTTCTGCGCAAAATGACGGAAGCCTGGATAGCCCTGTAGGTAAGTAGTTTTGTTTCTGATTTGTTCCAGTGTTTGCTTTGTGTCGTTAGGCTCGGTAGCCGAGCTAGGGCAAGTTCGGCTGTTTGGTGTGTTGTTATGTTGTGGTCTTAGACTGACATCTCCCTAAATCCCTCTTTTAGTTTTCCTTCTGCTTCTTGTTGTTTCCATTGTAATGTTATACGTTCTTATTGCCAGCAATGGTGGGATCATTCTCACTAATTGGCAGAACCATTTTAGTCTTTGTTCCTCCTTGAATTTAAAGATGGTAATTCTTTCAATAATCTCTCCATTTCTCACACTATCTGTTCCTGATTTTTTCACAGCCTTTCTCAAGCACCTCATGTCGCTGGTAGTAAGTGACCAAGTCTGTCACTGTTAACCTGAAGCCTTTATTTTTGTCTCTATTTGATAGATTTTGTTTCTGTCTCTTTGTCTAGTCTGCCATTGCATGTATTACGGGATGTAAATATGCTTTCCAAGTGTTAACATGCATGCACTTGTTTGAAACTTTGTGTGTGTGTGTACATGACTATTTTAAAACACATTCTCTGACACGAAATTTTCCCGACTTTGAAGGTAACTTTCGACATAAACAAATCTCATTAATTTAACGGATTATCTGCAGAAGGTCGCTCCCAACCAACTATAGCTTTAGATTTTTGTGTTGTCTAATGTGTATACAAGTCCTGTATATATTGCCCCCCCCCCACACACACACACACACATATATATATATATATATATATATATATATATATATATATATATATATATATATATATATATATATATATATATATATATATATATATAATTCTTACAAAGACGTTGTTGTCGATTTAGGGGAGAATGGGCTCGTGCTCCTCGGCCCAGTGCCATATACTTCATGACGTAGTGATAAATACAACATGAAAAAAATATTTTTGTAAGGCAGACTAAAAGACTGGGTTGGCAGTTAGTCTAAGAGTGAAGCTCCTGCAGTCAGACAGAGCCATGCTCTTCTGGTCTGCTGGTGTAAACGTGTTGGTATTAAGTTAACCTGGGAGTAAACAGGATAGGCCGAGTAAGGGGAAGGGTGTTGTGGGGGGGGGGGGTGGGCGATCATACTGCATGTGCAATGCATGGTCTCTGAAGTAGTGCCCTGGGTTTATTCCGTATTGAAGAGGAACTTCGTCTCTGGACATGATTGGTTATGATTCTCCAGTCTGTCTATTACACTATCGTTTAGAAAGACGGAAAGCTGCAAACAGGTGATATTTACAGATGCTAATTTTAGCTGGCATTGATAATTTCGTCTGCCCTATAAATCCGTGGAAGCTTTCACGTTTCACCACATCTCGGTCCTTGATGTTCTAAATCAGTTTTTTTATGCATTGTAGAATTCCTACGGGTCCTCTTTTTTTTAGGTCATCCACCCTAATTTCTCAAGGTCCACTGTCCAGATAATCAAGCAAGCATGTCAGCCGGTGCTTTACCCCAGGACCATTCCTCAGCTAAGTTAAAACAACAAAAAGACCTTGTTCGGGCCAGTAGCACATCGGACAAATGAGGCTAGGCTCGTGTTTGTTTTTAGACCACTGGGCATTCAGTGGGTGACGTCGACATCTTTACAACGAAGTTTCAGCTGAAACCTGACGGAAATCAAGCAAACAGATCGGCGAAGTCCCTGTGTGTGTTCCGGGGCTCTA